TTAAGGAAAGTAAAGTGTAACCAAAACTTTTTTTAAAGACTAAGTAAAATGTCAGGAATAAACTGAATGGAACACAATACGTCAGAATGATCTCTAAATATAAATGTTGTGTATTAGCAACACTTCACAGACTGAAAATACAACTTCCAACAGATCTCCATTACATTTTCATTAATTTTACTCAAAAAAATATATACTGAAATAACTTTTACTGTATCTTCTGATTACATGGCAAAAGCTGCTGCTCTTCCTCAGTATTTTTGTCTTGATAAATCAAATAAATCAAGACACATTTACTGGAGAAACAAATGACTTAAAATAAGAAGTCTTGTTTTCTATCTAAATGATCTAAATGAAGTGAGTTTATGATTAAAACAAGAACAAATATCTGCTAATGGACTCAGAAAAATCAACTTCATTCAAAGGGAAACAAATGAACAGAATCCACACTGAACTGAAGTGAATCCACACTGAACTGAAGTGAATCCACACTGAACTGAAGTGAATCCACACTGAACTGAAGTGAATCCACACTGAACTGAAGTGAATCCACACTGAACTGAAGTGAATCCACACTGAACTGAAGTGAATCCACACTGAACTGAAGTGAATCCACACAACTGAATACTGAATCCATATAGAACTGAAGTGAATCCACACTGAACTGAATCCACACGGAACTGAATGAACTGAATCCTGAATCCACACTGAACTGAAGTGAATCCACACTGAACTGAAGTGAATCCACACTGAACTGAAGTGAATCCACACTGAACTGAAGTGAATCCACACTGAACTGAAGTGAATCCACACTGAACTGAAGTGAATCCACACTGAACTGAAGTGAATCCACACTGAACTGAAGTGAATCCACACTGAACTGAAGTGAATCCACACTGAACTGAATCCATACTGAACTGAAGTAAATCGACACTGAACTGAAGTGAATCGACACTGAACTGGAGAACTGAAGTGAATCCACACTGAACTAAAGTGAATCCACACTGAACTGAAGTGAATCCACACGGAACTGAATCCACACGGAACTGAATCCACACGGAACTGAATCCATATGGAACTGAAGTGAATCCACACTGAACTGAATCCACACGGAACTGAATCCACACTGAACTGAATCCACACTGAACTGAACTGAATCCACACTGAACTGAATCCACACTGAACTGAAGTGAATCCACTCTGAACTGAAGTGAATCCACACTGAACTGAAGTGAATCCACACTGAACTGAATCCACACAGAAACGATCTGTCCAGTGTGAAGTGCTATAGAAGTAAGTGTGACTTCATCTTCACCTGCAGCGCGTCCAGGATGTCCCGGTGTCTCACGAGGGCCAGAGGAATCTTCATCTTACTGAACACAGAGTTGTTTACCGACGGCGTCAGCATATTTTTAATGCTGGCGATCAGAAGTACAGATGCACCCAGATCCTGAGCGACCAGAGCCTTCTGACCGAAATCACAGCCGCCCCTCATCACCACCACAGCCTGACCCTTCAGAGAGTCCTGCTGATCCCTCACACA